TATGGCTATGAAGAGAACTGTTTCACGTATTAGTTTTCACCCCAATATTATTTTATGAGAATTCTATGTTTCTGAAAGTGTTCCACTTGGGGTTCAATCCACAGCTGATAATGGGACGATAAAGCCTCTTAGTCAAAAGCAGCTCCATCTACTTTTTGAGTCCAACTCCGTAAATTTCACGTATATATATATATATATATATAAAGTAGATTCATACATAAGTGAGAAAATCCATTTCATTCATTAAAGTAATTTTATAAATGTTCTGTACAGAGAACATTGAAACTTCATCATATTTTCTTAATAAAAAATACTTCTTCAAGTTCATAACATAGGACCTCGTCCAACATCTCCACAAGAAAAAGTGGAACTTTATCCTTGTTTTTATACTGGAATTTTATCCAAGTTCCTGCAGTGGACCTTTATTTAAGTTCCTACAATGGAACTTTATCCAAGTTCTTATAGTGGAACTTTATCCAAGTTCCTACGGTGGAACTTTATCCAAGTTCTTATAGTGGAACTTTATCCAAGTTCTTATAGTGGAACTTTATCCAAGTTCCTACGGTGGATCTTTATCCAAGTTCTTATAGTGGAACTTTATCCAAGTTCCTACGGTGGAACTTTATCTAAGTTCTTATAGTGGAACTTTATCCAAGTTCCTACGGTGGATCTTTATCCAAGTTCTTATAGTGGAACTTTATCCAAGTTCCTTATAGTGGAACTTTATCCAAGTTCTTATAGTTAAAATTTATCCAAGTTCCTACGGTGGATCTTTATCCAAGTTCTTATAGTGGAACGTTATCTAAGTTCCTACGGTGGATCTTTATCCAAGCTGTTATAGTGGAGATTTAGCCAAGTTCCTACAGGGGAGCTTTATCCAAGTTCGAGTAATGGAGCTTTATCCAAGCTCTTATAGTGGAACTTTATTCAAGTCCTTATAGTGGAGTCTTGTCAAAGTTTCTACAGTAGAACTTTATCCAATTCCTTATAGTGGAACTTCATCCAAGTTCTTACAGTATAGCTTAATCCCAAAGGTTCATTAAAAATAATTTATTCTAAGTTTCTGATAAATAATAATGTAAAAAAAATGTCATGTAACTTCTTAAAGTTGAGCTTCAACCCATTTCTTAAAGTATATTACCATCCGGGTTCTTTATAATAGCTTTCTTCAAGGTTCTCTAAACAGTTTAACTTTCAAATCTGCTGGTTTCGATTACCTGTAGGTACTTCAAAGCTTGTTACCACCTCACATAACCTTTCTATAAATTATAAAGTATTTTTTTAAAAGATCAATAACAATGTTGGCAAGTTAAATAGCATAGATTCATGTGGTTAGTGTCGTATTAACTAGTGCCTCGTTATGAGTTGTTTTTTTCATAAATAGGCAATCAGTGTTTCCGTTTTTCAAAGCTAATTTTCCAGTGTTTCTTCGAATGACTTTCAATTACGTAGTTATAAAGGTTTATTGATGTTTTTACTTCAGGTCAAAATTCATAGACAGCAACTGGCTAACATTTTAGTTCTCTTTAGGGCTTCGTTACATTGGTGTCCCCTATTTAATGTTTTGCAGACTCTTAGAGGATTCAAGTTTGTTTTTTTTGTTCCCTAATTCCGTTCTGCCTAGTTCTTCATCCAGAGACCACTACACCAGGTTTTGCTGTAGTTCATTTAACCCAATATGTCGTTGTATGGATCGGATGTGGCTATTCTGCAAGGACCACAGCTCGAAAATTCCCATCGCTTTTTTTTTTTTATCTGGTGTCTGCGTGTGTGGAGTTTTTCAGGCGGAAAGGCAGCTGAAGCAGTCTTATGTGTTGGTCCCCAGAAAGCGGAAGGGCTGCATGCAATTGTGAACAAATCCCTCTTTCTATAAAAGAAAGCTTTTGAAGACGGGAGATTGGGTTGCGGTATTCTTCTACATTCGTGCAAAACAGCTCTTTTATAGAGTACATGGGAAAATCTGGCAGAACCATGGCTTCCGTAATAATAGTGACGTTGTAAAAGCGTTCTTGTGAACGCGAAGTTGGAGGGGGTGTGTGTGTGTGTGAAAAGTATGAAAAGTTCGTATTAAATGCGAAGCCTTTTGCATGTTTTCTACTGCGCCCTTTTTCAATTAAGGACACGCACACACAATACATTGTTTGAAACAGGACCACGAACGAAAAACATGAGTCACATGGTGTTATTTGATATGTATTTTATTCTCACACAAGTTTATATAGAGGGGGGGGGGGTAAATAAGAGTTCACCATTAGCACACCTTCTCCATTGAGCCTTATGGGGCTTTCCCTTCAACAAGCATGCATTCTTTAACATAATATGATTTGCAATAATATTACATGCATCTCCAAGGCAACCAGAAAAGGAAAACCTTGAGAGAAACGTTTTGAGGCTCCTATTGAGTGCCATTGTCCTATAAACGTTTACGACCAATTCTTGGTGTATGCGAATGCCATGGATAGCTCGTCTCATTTACGGCGCTTGAAAGAAGGGTGGGCTATTGTCACTCCCTGAGAAGCAAGGCTGTGTAATTCTGCCAACAGCATGCAAGCTTTTGTGTATAAAAGGCAAAGATAATGGGCAAAGTTGAATGCCGAGCAGAATAGAGTTTGAATTGTATCCGTATATGTATGTATATAAGGAGCAGTACAGTAGCGTGTTATAGACAGTTGATAAGAGAGAGAGAGAGATCAGGAGTGAGAACATGCTGGTAATTCCGAGCCGAAAGTATCGTGTACATAGTGGCCGTATGAATTAGGTGTAAATATACGTTACTACGAAACCAAAAGTCTTCGACTGTGTTAACGTGTTCGTAATTTAACGTTGTAGTGGTACGCTCACTGATAAGGAGTCGGGAATGGATTAATCACGCGTTAATCTGTACTTATGGATATTTCTGATCCAGTTGTTGAAGCCTAGTCCTTGAAAACGTGCATTAGGGAATTTGATGTGGTGGACTATTTAATGATATGTGTCTAATCCTTAGAAGTGCTTAGGAAACAGAAAGGGACTGCGTTAATGATATGTGATATGTAGTTCTTCTTGTTGAATCCTACAAATTTGCACTAATGAGTCTGCAAGGATTTCGTTACGCCTTAACATGTGATAATGATATGTGAAATTTAGTTTTTCTTCTTGGATCCTACAAAGTTTCACTAAGGAATGTGCAGGGATTTCGTTACACCCTAAAATGTGATATTGATATGTAAAATGTTGTTCTTCTTGTCGGATCCTACAAAATTGCACTGAGGAATCTACGTTAGGGGATTTCGTTACGCCATAAAATGTGATATTGATATGTAAAATGTTGTTCTTCTTGTCGGATCCTACAAAATTGCACTGAGGAATCTACGTTAAGGGATTTCGTTACGCCCTAAAATGTGATATTGATATGTAAAATGTTGTTCTTCTTGTCGGATCCTACAAAATTGCACTGAGGAATCTACATTAAGGGATTTCGTTACGCCCTAAAATGTGATAACGATATGTGAAATCTAGTTGTCGTGAAGGCACCTTACAGTCTTGTGCACTAAAACACCTGGAGGGATCTTATCATAATTCCGTGTGGAATGCAGAATCCTACAACCGGATTCTTAAAGGGACTCAACACATCAAAACTTATACTAATCATGTATAATATACTAATTCGTAAAACGTTTTACAAAAGGGTGTGAATGTGATTACCCCCCTTGTTATCTTGGAACAAAATGTGACGTCTGTAATGGGGTTGGAGCACAATAAGACCCAAACAATCTGTCAGATGTTGGGGACATAGTAAGACCCATACATACTGTCAGATGCTGGGGGCAAAGAAAGACCCATACATACTGTCAGTTGTTGGAGCACAGTAAGACCCATACAAACTGTCAGATCTAATTTGAAACTCAACAGTTAAACACTTCAACATCTTGATGTTAATGTATTCTTGATGATGAAACACTGGGAGATCCAGATAACGCTTAATTAAGCGTTAACTTATGTTCATGATAAGTATCGTTTAGATGCTAATTTACTCCCATGGGATATCCGTGGAGATCCAGATAACGCTCAAGGAAGAGTCAGCCTATGGTAATGATAAGTGTCGTGTAGATGCTAATTCACTTCCATGGGTTATCCGTGGGGATCTAGACAAACGTTAATCAAACATTATCTTATCTTAATTATAAGTGTCGGTTAGATGCTAATTTATTCTCGTGGGTTGTCCGAGGGAACTCAGATAATGCTTGATGAAGCGTTAGCCTATGGTAATGACAAGTGTCGTTTAGATTCTAATTTATTTTTGTGGGTTATCCGGGGGGATTCCAGGTAACGCCTTATAAAACAGTAATATGTGTCTTTGAATCTGTGATATGAAGATAAAAATGTAATATTATTACTTCTTTGTTACTTTTACATGCCACTATTATGGAAAATGTTATTTCTACAAAGGACTAGTATATAGTGTTAATATTCCAGACAAATATTATATTTAACGTATTAATTTTACAGTCTTCATACGTGAAATCATTATAAGCAGATAGTAAATGTGTCGTTAATACTACAGACATTTAGTGTGTAATTATTTGCTACGTATTTAGTATATAATGCTATGTTGTCAATATCAGAGACATTAGGTAGTCCGTTACTACAGATTTAGTGTAGTGTTTTAGTACCATAAGAAATTGGATGTATTATTAATAATAGACATTTATTACGTTGTCTGTAGGGTTGAATACGTTATATGAAAACTATTTTCACTTTGTATGGCGTTTCGCAGGTAATGTGATGCCACCAAAAATTTATCGCTTTGGAAAAGGGTATGTAACAGTCCTTTTTGACACAAAATATTGATACATTCGGAGCAGAGGCGTGCTCAGATCGGAGAATTAGAATTTCCAAGACGGATATATCTTTTGTACTTAACGATATTGGAAAACAAAGAAATATGGAGCAACTTAGGGCACCATGACCATCCAAAAAGAGACCTACAATGAGTCATACTCCAGCCGTGGTAAGCAAAGTGTGGTGTATTGTGACAGATGAGAATCCACAAACACAAAGGTCAGTGGCAAAAGCCATCCACGTGTCTCAGGCAATAGTACGCAACACAATTGAGGAAGGTCTTCACTGTAAACGAGGTAATCAGGATGAGGTTTCTGTTCATACTTCCTGTTCAATCATCACACACCTCAAGCAATTGGAAAATGAAACGGGTATCCATACTATTCCATACAAAGAAATATAAATCAACTCGCTGATGCAGCGCCTCTGTGGAATTCTGTGAGATAGGGCTTGAAACATGCGCTACGAAACCGTTCCTACCCTAAATGGATTATGGAAAAACTTTAAAAAAATGGGATGCGCTCTTGGACATGATGGTCTTACGACGGATCCTGTCACAATAAAAACTACACTGAAAGGTTATTGTCAAGATGCATGGTCATCAGATAAAGAACGAATGACGTGGTGACATAATATGTAACGACGCGGTGAAGATCCAAGATCGTTTTAATATGACGTAGTCAACCGTCTGTATTACTACTGTAATATGTAGTATGTTACTACTAGAGACAACTATGATGTAGTGTCTTTCTACTCTGAATAATTTATATCACGAAATTGACAAGTTGTATTTCATGATATGGATAGTGTTTTCTGGAAACGACCATCGAAATGGCTTTATCGCGTGTTCTCTATGTATAAGTTCAGTGTCTGTTCTGGAACGTGATCATAAGTGACTATTTATTTGGGCTAAAAGGTTTGTGACACTTCAATCGTTGCATAGCTGTATTTACACACGCGTGTATGATAAAACGTTTAAAACATTCAATCGTTGCGTAGATCTTCTTAGCAATAAAACAAATGATAAGAGAGGGTCATTAAGGATTACCCTGAATAACTAAGATACATATATCATATGCATTCTGTATATGTACATATACGCACGTATATTAAATGAGGAATACTCAGACCCTAGGTTATAATTATTGAATACTTAAAAATGAAAAGTTCGGCCTTCGAATCCTGTCGTGCAATGACAATTTAATTATTTTCTTACGCACACTCAAACGAAATGCTATAGATACACAATAAACTTTAACGAGTCTCATTAGAAGTTTCTGTCGCGTGCAAGGATACACTTTAACCTAGGGCATCAACACAGTTGTTTTAAAGGATTGCGGCTACTTCAAATGACTGAAATAATGTTGTGTTCGGTATTCGTTAAAGCACATACTAGAAATTCAGAATACTGTAAGTATTACGTGCAACAGCTGCGCGTTTGACGGGGTGTTACATATTCTTAAGCAAGTGTGTAAGTTGGGCTTGACAAGGTCGTGTAAAAAATAGTAAGTCGTTTTCAGTGAACTATTTAGTTTTAGGTTGGGATTTCAAAACGAGATTGTACTCTTTAAGAAAAAAAAATGAGTTTTAGGCATTCAGATTACGAGGTTTGGAGGGGATAAAAAAATTTGAAGAAAAAATGGGAAGAGAAAGGAGTCTTCGGAGACAAGAGAGTGAGGGTTTTGAACAAAAAGTGAAAAGATGCGAATTTCAGGAGTATTAAGCAAGAACTTCAGGGATAGAAAACCGATAAGGAACAATATTTCTTATTTTCTATAAGTTATTTTTAAATAAATAGTTAAACGTTTCAAACTTGATAATCTATGTGGGTCTATATATTATATTAAACTTGAATCAGACTTGTGACACAACTACCTATTGTCCACCGGTGGGCGGTCTTCGCTAGAATCAGGGGCTCGATTCTCCTCGGTGGACTTTGCTATTAGAAAACACACACAAACTACCTATCACCATAGCAACAGATGCGAAAAATACGTAGAATAAAAAAAAAGTAGATAAACCACAACTTAAGAAACACGATAACCCAAGCATTTTTGGAAGATGGTCCCAGATCTTCAGGCGGTAAGGTGTCTGTATGTGTGGCCATTTATCCATGATGAAGAAAAGTCAATTTTCCGAAAGCGCTCGGATAATTGGGTATTTCTCTGACCGTAACATTTCTCTATGTTTTCGGATATAACGATTAAACATAACCATACCGGTGTTTAAAACACTAGTTATTACATAAATATAAAACTGTTGTGTGCTGTTAATCTCTTTGTTTTCGGATATAACGATTAAACATAACCATACCGGTGTTTAAAACACTAGTTATTACATAAATATAAAACTGTTGTGTGCTGTTAATACTTGGATCAAACTTCCCAGAAGAAGTGTGTTTTAATGTTAATGTTAACTAAGACCCACTCACCCTATTTTTTATTGTGGTTTGTATTGTTACGTTTATATATAGAATATATTGTCGAAAGAGAAGATAACTTGTAACATATAATTAAGGAAATTGTCATGAAGATGTTATAATGTTCGTACGAAAAGGTTATGTGTTTTCCTGTATACGTAATTGACGGTAATTTTAGTACAAATAAGATATACGAGAGTCGATGTTTAAAATGCTCACTTAAGCCTTGTTGAACTTATCATCTGAGCCTCAAGAAAACGTAAACTGCGGATGTGTAAGTAATAGCGTTCTATAAAGTGTGGAAGTGTTATATTCGATTTGGTCATCAAATGTCACAAGTTTCTTTTTGATTTGCTATTCATAATATCAAACAACATTTTATTAAAACCACCCTCACGAATATGGCCTCGTACGCTAATGTTGAAATGATATTATCGGTACGGCTGGGTGGGAGAAGCATGAGCGTGGAAATTGGTAAAGATAAAAAGATGAAAACTCACGACATTCTTACTCATCGTTTCCGTTTAGGAGCTTCTAGAGGCTCGGAGGAGCGGGAGTCGGCAAGAGCCCGTGTGCTTTCCTCCCTTACTGTCATCGGGACGAAGGAAGCTTCCTCGCGTAGCAAAGCTGTGTCTATTGGAACGGAACAAAATCTAGTCGACCGTGCGTGATCTCGCGCTAACCGAACCGTCTACGAAGAGTCCGTGCTAAGATTTGACAGACTCGAGGAAACCGAGTTAGGGCACAAAAGCTGTAGTTCTTCCGGCGGTAAGGGATGGCCACACCATAAACATGGCAGTCGATACAAGCGACGTGAAGATAAACAGGGTTGTAACTACCTCAAAATTATTCAGTATATGAGTTCTTCCTTGTAAAACACCTACAGATAAGACAACCAGATATGAACCGTAGAAATCCCTTTCGTTTTTAAGCTAAAGACACTTAGTTGTCTAAGAAATTATCGGAAACAAATTTATACTCTAAAAAAAAAGTATGTAGTGTTTTATTTTAATCTTACATCTCCCGTAGACGTTTCTCAGTGCACAATAAAACGCTATCTCTATGTTGACTCGGAGCACCAGCAGTGTTTGCCCATACGTAGCTTAAATTCAACACTTGATCACGTGCTTAAAACTCAACCTTAGATTATCAAAAACATGTTGTACGTCTGAAAAGGTTCCATACTCAAACTAGTTAAAACAAGCGTAAATATACATATTAAATCTACAAGAGTTATTAGCTTATTATACCAACATTGATGATCATGAACACACTACTCTATAATATCATGATTAATATTCATGTATTCAATATGCTAAACTTACTTACCCTATTATAAAATCATTGATATCCATACATTAAATATGCTAAACTTACTACCTTGCTATATCGTCATTGATATCCATGCATTAAATATGCTAAACTTACTTACCCTATTATAAAATCATTGATATCCATACATTAAATATTCTAAACTTACTACCCTATTATAACATCACTGATGTATTAAATATAGTATTTCTCTACTGAGTATTAATTTGACTACCATTCTTTCTTTGCTCTCTCTATCTCTGGAAACCGTTCAGTTTTCTGGTAAACTAATCTGTCTCTCTGATAACTGTGGCCCTTCTGACGACCTTTAGTTCATCGTGGTTGGGTATCGCTTTCCTACAGATTAAATTCTGCACGTTCTCGCGTAACACCAAGCTCGAATTATCAACATACATTATTTGTTAGTAATTCCTGCTGAATGGAACATTGTGGAAAAGTCTTTGTGCATGTATAGCAATGAGCACGTGGCTTTATTTTGTTTATCGTTATTGAGCGTGTATATAATATCAGTGTATAGTGTCCTTACTCAAATATATCCTTTCTTCGTCATTAGGTTATGAATTTATGTGTAGAAGAAAAGAAGATAATACTTACTGCATTAACCAATAAACTTTGTTGTAATTAACCTTCATAGTAATTGTATTTATTGCTTAGGAATATCATAGAAATGGTTTAAATCTCTTAAAAATTGAACGTAACAGCATTAAGAATAAAACAAAAACTAAATCTGGAGCTTTGAAGGATATGGACACTCATCATCAGGACTCAAAGTTTGATAACTATACTGGTCAACCCCTCTAAGTTATCTAACGTTACTTATTAGGACCGTTACAGTTTGATTACTACTGGTCACCCCCTCTAAGTTATCTAACATTACATATTAGGACCGTTACAGTTTGATTACTAGTGGTAACCCCCTATAAGTTATCTAATGTTACTTAGGACAGTTAAAGTTTGATTACTACTGGTCACCCCCTCTAGGTTATCTAACATTACATATTAGGACCGCTAGAGTTTGATTACTAATGGTAACCCCTCTAAGTTATCTAACATTACATATTAGGACCGCTAGAGTTTGATTACTAATGGTAACCCCTCTAAGTTATCTAATGCTACTTATTAAGACAGTTAAAGTTTGATTACTACTGGTCGCCCCCTCTAAGTTATCTAATGTTACTTGTTAGGGTCGTTAAAGTTTGATTACTACTGGTCGCCCCCTCTAAGTTATCTAACATTACATATTAGGACCGCTAGAATTTGATTACTAATGGTAACCCCTCTAAGTTATGTAATGCTACTTATTAAGACAGTTAAAGTTTGATTACTACTGGTCACTCCCTCTAAGTTATCTAATGTTACTTGTTAGGGTCGTTAAAGTTTGATTACTACTGGTTACCCCCTCTAAGTTATCTAATGTTACTTGTTAGGGTCGTTAAAGTTTGATTACTACTGGTTACCCCCTCTAAGTTATCTAACATTACATATTAGGATCGCTAGAGTTTGATTACAACTGGTAACCCCTCTAAGTTATCTAATGCTACTTATTAAGACAGTTAAAGTTTGATTACTACTGGTCACCCCTCTAAGTTATCTAATGCTACTTTTTTGGAGTGGTAAAAAATGAAATAGCTGATAAATATTATGGATGTTTTTTATATTACAGTTTTTTTTGTTATGTTGTTAAGAAGGTTTAACGTACTTTAGAGTCAGCTTCATACTTTTTCTCGTCGTTTATTGATTTCAGAAATAGCAACCGCGCTCATCGGGTAATGGTAAAATAATAATGACACTAAGAGCTGGTATCAGGCTTTTGGAACATGTAATGACACCAAGAGCTAGTATTTGGCTTTTGGAACATGTAATGATGCTAAAAGCTAGTACTGAGCTTTTGGAACATGTAATGATACTAAAAGCTAGTACTGGGCTTTTGGAATATGCAATGACACTGAGAGCTGGTATTGGTCTTACAACGTGCTTTATAACTTGATTAATATAAAACAAAATCCTTGTTATATTCAACAGACGAAACAAGGAAAAGTTTAAAGATTCCACTTATCATCTTTACCAAACATAAAGTGGATAGGAGGCGAGATCTAACTCTTTCCGCAGACCAAATTAAAGATCAAATAACAGTGATACTGTTTCCGGCAGCGGGCGCGGTGCGGCTGGATGGACTCTCCGTCACCCCCGGGGAACAACAGCAATCCAAGCAGCCTAATAGGTAATAAAAGTGATCTCTTGAAACCATGTGGCCAATATTATATCATGCTCACGCCATGTTTAAAGAGCTGAAATAATCCTAGTAACACCATTGACTTCCACTGTATGTATATCAACCTGCGACGGAGAAAGGCATGCTTGACGAAACTTTGTGTGGCTGTGCCCTTCCCAGTGTTTTACATTCTGATCAAACGCTGTTTCTACAGTATAATTAGATTACACAGTTGTTACTTATTTTATGTGTGTGTGGGGGGGGGGGGAGAGCTGATAATCCAATTACAGATTTAACTTCTAAATGATTGGAGTAACTGTATTTTTAGTATGGAATATTCAAATTTCCATCAATGATTTTGTTTGTTGGTTTTTTTTTAGGAAAGCCACATTAGGCTATTTGATGTATACAGTGGGGGAATCGAACACCAGATTTAAGCGTTGTAAATACTTAAGCGTACCGCTGACTCACCGGTGGGGAAACCTCATTAATGATGCTTTGTCAGTAGTTGTAGAATGAGCATTAGATACATTTACCTTTGCATGTGTATACGATGTGATTACCTAAAGATTAACCATTAAGAATTTAGATACCATAATGGGTGGCTAAGACTTACTTTTATATGAAGTATTTCTGATCGTAAGCGTGATTTCATAAAGTTTTGCCCACGATACACCAACTGCTTCTGTAAACAAGAAACAGAAACCTGATCAGAATCTGTAACAGAGTGGGAGACTTCACGTTTGTCTTTGAAAGATCAGTTTATACTTAATATTAATTTCCGATCAGAGCAGCATAACCTACTTAAAGAGTAACTAAAAATCGATCTAGCAATCAATATAGTTGGTTAAATATACTATTCTTACACTCTTATTTATAAAGATTAGAATACATTATTTCATAGCTACTAACGATGTTTTCGGCCGTAATCCCAATAACATCTCACGAGGTTTGGCCAGCTTGAGAGATTTACATTATTCCTAAATACATATACAAAGATAACAATGTATTATAATAAACAATAAATCAAAATGATAAGCAATGACATTAGGTACATTAAATAGAATAACGAGTGATGTTAATGAAAGTAGCAATAAATAAATATTACAGTATACCTTACTTAAAGAACACAGAAATATTAGTTGGTGGCTTGAGCTACTGTCGTAGGAGTTACCATCTAAGCTGGTAAAAGTATTAACATAACAGTCAACATCTAAATATCTAACAATACAAACGTTAATAGGGTGGTTGTTAATAACAGTGATTTTATATCATAGTGCTTTATAGAACATTGTTTAAAGTTCAAGACAATTTTGCTTGCATCAAAATATTTATAGTAATTATTGTTTGTTTGTTTGAAATTAAACACAAAGCTACACAATGGTTATCTGTGCTCTGCCCAGGATATCGAAACTCGGTTTATAGTGTTGTAAGTCCGCAGACATGCCGCTGTGCCACTTGAGGGCTTTATAGTAATTAAGTTGGTTGTAAACGACACACAATACTGGTGATGGCTGACTGGTTAAGTTTGAAGTAATGATCTGTAATTGTTAGCTCGGTGCTTGATGATACCCACCATTTTACTTCACACAACATGGCTGACTGGTCAAGTTTGAAGTAGTAATCTGTAATTGTTATCTCGGTGCTTGATGATACCCACCATTTTACTTCACACAACATGGCTGACTGGTCAAGTTTGAAGTAATAATCTGTAATTGTTAGCTCGGTGCTTGATGATACCCACCATTTTACTTCAGACAACATGGCTGACTGGTTAAGTTTGAAGTAGTAATCTGTAATTGTTAGCTGGGCGCTTGATGATACCCACCATTTTACTTCACACAACATGGATGACTGGCCAAGTTTGAAATAGTAACCAGTGATTATTAGCTGGGTGTTTGATGATATTTAACTTTACATGACATGGCTCACTGTCCAAGTTTGTAGTAGTAATTAGTAATCATAGGCTCAGTGCTTCATGACATTTTACTTCACACTAACTAATATAATAATTAATACCAATGTGTGAGATAATAATGCGGTTAAGGTCACATAAAACGTCTGTTAACTACAAGACAACAGCACAGTGTTTAATAACGCAGTGTGATAACACTGAGAATAATAGAAAACCAAACACACGTTATGTTCATGATTACACAACATTTAACTGTTCTGTAGTAAATAACATAATCAGTAGCAGTTGAGTATTATATTTTCTATATACGGTCAAAACCAAAGTGATTAATAGAAAATATGGTTGTTCAATGATACGCGATATAAGCAGTCATTTTTCCAGCTGTATGGTGGAAACACAGTAACCGGTAAAATTGTGGTTAATAAAATTTGCCCAATTGTTACCATGTATCCAATGAGATTATTGGAACGACAAGAAATAACAAAACCGTTTATTGAAATCCAGGTTCTAGTCAACATCAATGTGGCTAAGAAAATCAAAGTGATATCCCAGTGGTTAACAATAGAGTACAAATGGAAACACTGGTCAACATCACGGTTGTTAATAAAAGTAACGTAATGGCTAACATCATCCTTTCATTTGATAGTTTCGTATAGGAATCTTGGCGACAAATTCCTCGTATCCAAAAGTGAAACATTCCCGCCATATCCTGCACGTTCTAATGTTGTAAGATAGTTTATTAACCCTTTTACCTAATTCCTAATGAATCACAATTTCCTTTGTAATGTTTAACTTACTTTCTTTTAACGTGATAAAGTATTATATCCTATTTTAAATACGTATTTTGAGAACTGTTTATCTATCGAGAAGGCTGGGTGGACATATAACGTAAACAAAACATTCTAGCGGTGCAAATACTATTATTTATTCTGAACGTTATGAAAACCCAAGTTTTCTTTTGCATCTTGTCACGCATTCATAACGTGAACGCTTCTTCGACCACAAGAACGTATGCTTACGTAAATTAATTAATTTCAGGAAGAAACTAAGTGGGTATGCAGAGTTCTAAGCCTACTTTAAAGTGAAACAGGTAAAAAAATATATATAATAGTCACCTTCGTAGCCAAGATTAATATTGTCAGGCATCTCTGTTGTCATGTTTATATTGCATTCTTGTATTTCTGTATTTAATAATTCGTTTTAAATTATGACCTCTCCGCTGCACATTGATTTCTTAACATTAATCTGGTCTTAATGATTATTATACTTCTCTAATATCGACATATTCTTCAGGCTGGGAATAATTTTGTGTTTTCATAGGTTAGGGACGACATTTCTCAGAACTCTTTTCAGATTTGGTTTGCTCTTGTTTGTTTATTTTCAAGCACAAAGGGCTATCTTTCCTGTGCCCACCACGGGTGTCGAAACACGGTTATTAGCGTTATAAGCGTTCAGATTTACCGCCGAATATTTCTTATCTAAATTATCCAAGAACAAGCTAATATGCTTTGTGTTTTAAATAGATTGAACATTTATTTGTTAAAAGTAATCTGCTAATATTTTGGATTTTTTTTTCTATGAACAAATGTAAATATTTATTATTTTATTCAATTATTGTAAAATGTACTTGGTGTTTGCCCCCCCCCCCTCCAAGAAAATCTCATCGGGGTTTGCTTGAACACTTTGAAGTGAATATGGTGTTGAAATAAATAAATATCATAAGTAATAAAGTATGGTCAATAGATTGAAATAATCAGATAGGTCAGTAGGCCTTACATAGCATTGATTATTTTAGATTTAAAATAAGCCTTACAGAGTATCGTTTATATACTAGACGTACAATATGGCTCTTAAAGATTATTATTTATATCCAAGCGTACAATATAGCTCTTAAAGATTATTGTTTATATACAGGCGTAAAATATAGCTCTTAAAGATTATTATTTATATACAGGCGTAAAATATAGCTCTTAAAGAATACTGTTTATATCTAAGCATAAAATATAGCTTTTAAAGAGCATTGGTTATATTTAGGCGTACAATATAGCTCTTAAAGATTATTGTTTATATACTAGACGTACAATATAGCTCTTAAAGATTATTATTTATATACAGGCGTAAAATATAGCTCTTAAAGAATACTGTTTGTATCTAAGCATAAAATATAGCTTTTAAAGAGCATTGGTTATATCTAGGCGTACAATATAGCTTTTAAAGAGCATTGGTTATATCTAGGCATACAATATGGGTTTTAAAAAGTATTGTTTATATCTAGGCATACAATATAGCTTTTAAAGAGCATTATTTATATCTAGGAATACAATATAGCTTTTAAAGAGCATTGGTTATATCTAGGCGTACAATATAGCTCTTGAAGATTATTGTTTATATCTGGGCGTACAATATAGCTTTTAAAGAGTATTGTTTATATCTAGGTGTACAATATAGGTTTTAAAGAGTATTGTTTATATCTAGGCGTACAATATAGCTCTTAAATATTATTGTTTATATCTAGGCATACAATATAGCTTTTAAAGATCGTTGTTTATATCTAGGCGTACAATATAGCTTTTAAAGAGTATTGTTTATATCCAGGCGTACAATATAGCTTTTAAAGAGAGTTGTTTTTTCCAGGCGTACAATATAGCTTTTAAAGAGTGTTGTTTTTTCCAGGCGTACAATATAGCTTTTAAAGAGTATTGTTTATATCTAGGTATACAATATAGCTTTTAAAGAGTATTGTTTATATCTAGGTATGCAATATAGCTTTGCAAGAGTATTGTTTATATCTAGGTGTACAATGTAGCTTTTAGAGAGTGTTGTTTTTTCCAGGCGTACAATTTTGCTTTTAAAGAGTGTCGTTTATATCTTGGCGTACAATATAGAAAATGTACCACTGAAACAAACTTGCGTTTCTACTCATCCTTTGTAACACCAAGTGAATTCGCAGCTACATCTAACAATTTTAGGAAGCAGTAATTTTATTATTCGATCTCAAAGATAATCTGTATTGTAACGATATATAACGAATAGACGTTGTAGTATATACTACATAGCTAAATTCGTTTCGCAATAAAAGTAATTGAAAACATATAAAAAATTAAAATGAAATTGAGATTTTAAATAATTTACATCAAATTCGAAAACAAAAATAATAAACTCGAAAACATTTACTAACCAGTCATTCAGTTTGTAAGAGTTTTCAGCCAGTGATGTGGAAGTAGGTTTGTTTGCTAACCGTGGGTAGTTTTTACTTCATTAAAAAGAATTTGAAATATTCAGTAAACGATCATTTCGAATTAATCTAACTATAATTTTAAACGTTTTCTAATACAAAAAAACAAAAACAGCACTGATCACAAACCATAGCTTTGATGGAAACTTGTCCATCGGAGACAAAGCGCCCTCTCCTTTCTAGAACAATTCACTATTGAATGTTACACACTAGATGACACGACCTATAGAGTACAGTACAACAGCAGCATACATTTTTGTTAACGTTTTTTGTTTTGCTTTTTCAGTAACAACTCAGGTGTTTAGAAAAAGCTGGTTCGATTTGCATCTGAAACCAACAGAACTTTTATAAAACAGTAAAAATTAGAGACGTATTCTATAAGTTCTCAGATTATGCAACACTTAATAATAAAGTTTGTTTGTAATTAAGCACAAAGCTACACAATGGGCTACCTGTGCTCTGCCCACCGCGGGTATCGGTACCCGGATTCTAGCGTTGTAAGTCCGCAGACATTCCGCTGTGCCACGTGGGGGGGGGGTAACAATAAAGCATACATTTATTCCCATTGATACCCCGGTAGTCAGCCAGTCTGAAAAAGGTTAAAGAAATAATGTTACTGAGTTTGTTGTATTAAATTGTGGGCACTTGGTATTTAGTATGCTCATGAAGCTATGATACGTATTAACTTGTCTCCACTCCATCATAATCTTCGCGCATCAATATATTCTATTTGTAATACATGATATTTTATATAAAAAAATATATATTCTAACAGACGTTTCTTAAGAAGACGTAGAAAAACTAGACTACAGTTACACTTCTACTTTGGAGTAAAATCGATTTATTTAGACTTCCTTCCATCTTATATGTTTAGAAGATCGAGTTGCACTTGAGCACGGAGTATGTTTTCACTCGAGGCAAGCGCAATGATCTCGGTACGACGAAACCTTATGTAACCAATCAAAATATTCAGGGCGTCGTTGTACCGCCTAGTTGGCGGAGCGAAAGATAATATCACCTTCTTCTAAAACGTGGCCCCGTCTGAAGAAAGGAGGAGCCGAAGTAAAAATACTTGCTATCTTGCACGTCTTGGTCCTCAATGTATTTTCCCGAAACTCTGTTCGACAGTGAGTGTTTTTCCAGTTTCTTCTTAACGCTAATAAACTTTTCCATTCCACAATAAAGTAGCGTCGAAGAACATTCATTCATTGACACGTAAATTGTCCGACTTTGTTCAAATAGTACTTAAAGAAATTTATATTTATTGTATATTTTTTTGGAGTGAACACTTCTACAGTAATCATACCTTGATGCTACCGCTTCTCTGGAATGAGTGAAAACTGTGTGAAATAAGTCGTGTTTGTATGACTTATAATATTTTGTTATTAATACAAACTTGTATTCTGTCCATCCACATTACGATCAAAATGACATGACTTAGATTTTGAGGTAGTTTTAAGGTTATCACATTTTGGGCGAATATATAGCTAAAAAAAGTCTCTAACATAGGAACTATTGTGGTAAAACGACGAATGCACCAAAGTGAAGTAAGTACAAAGTGCCATGGGTACTCGTAGTCACTATCTCTGCTTGTTAAATGAAGTAAGAAGTGTCATGGGTAATCGTAGTCACTATCTCTGCTTGTTAAATGAAGTAAGAAGTGTCATGGGTAATCGTAGTCACTATCTCTGCTTGTTAAATGAAGTAAGAAGTGTCATGGGTACTCGTAGTCACTATCTCTGCTTGTTAAATGAAGTAAAAAGTGCCATGGGTAATCGTAGTCACTATCTCTGCTTGTTAAATGAAATAAAAATGTCATGGGTAATCGTAGTCACTATCTCTGCTTGTTAAATGAAGTAAGAAGTGTCATGGGTAATCGTAGTCACTATCTCTGCTTGTTAAATGAAGTAAAAAGTGCCATGGGTAATCGTAGTCACTATCTCTGCTTGTTAAATGAAGTAAAAAGTGCCATGGGTAATCGTAGTCACTATCTCTGCTTGTTAAATGAAGTAAAAAGTGCCATGGGTAATCGTAGTCACTATCTCTGCTTGTTAAATGAAGTAAGAAGTGTCATGGGTACTCGTAGTCACTATCTCTGCTTGTTGAATGAAGTAAGAAGTGCCATGGGTAATCGTAGTCACTATCTCTGCTTGTTAAATGAAGTAAAAAGTGCCATGGGTAATCGTAGTCAATATCTCTGTTTGTTGAATGAAGTAACAAGTGTCATGGGTAATTGTAGTCAATATCTCTGCTTGTTAAATGAAGTAAAAGTGTCATGGGTAATTGTAGTCACTATTTCTGCTTTTTGAATGAAGTAAGAAGTGTCATGGGTAATTGTAGTCACTGTTTCTGTTTGTTAAATGAAGTAAGAAGTGCCATGGGTAATCGTAGTCACTATCTCTGCTTTTTGAATGAAATAAGAAGTGCCATGGGTAATTCTAGTCACCATCTCTGCTTGTTGAATGAAGTAAAAAGTGCCATGGGTAATCGCAGTCAATATCTCTGCTTGTTGCTTTTCGATAAATGTGATCAGTTTCTAGAGGGTCAATCTGGGTTTGATACTGCTGGTCAGTCTCCGTTACAGTCTCCGCTATCATTAAGTTTTCTCTCACAAAACACTGACCTCATCAGTTCACTCGTCTTTTCGACTTTTAGAATAATTATTTATTCTTTAAGTTTGCCCATAATTTAATATTTTACTCGAATAAACATACAGGACTGTACATTCATACAACCACGAAGTTCTCATTAGTTCATTGGCCCTCTTTTAAGCTTTAGAATAATTATTTTTGCCATTAACGTAATTTGATGTTATTGATTTGAATAAATAGAGGTGACTGTATGGAACTCATTCTGTGGACAAGCGGTTGTTAGTAGATGAAAATTACTCCGTTAAAATGACGGAGCAAGCATGTTTTCCTGTTTACTTATTTTGTCCTGTTTTATCTAGAAATTATTTTTTCTTCATCAAAATTCGGTCCAAGTTTTGCACCAAGGAAGTTTAGGTTTTGGTTTGAATTTCGCGCAAAGCTAATCGAGGGATATCTGCGCTAGACGTCCCTAATTTAGCAGTGATAAACAAGAGGGAAGGCAGCTAGTCAACCCCACCCACCGCCAACTCTTGGGCTACTCTTTTACCAACAAATAGTAGGATTAACAGTCACTTTATAACGCCCTCCACGCCTGAAAAGGTGAGCATGTTCGGTGACAGGAATTGGAGCCCACGACCCGCAGATAACGAGTCGAGTGCCCTAACCACCGGACCAGAAATTATGATAATACAATGATTGTATACAAAAGGTTATCAGCGAATGTAAATACAAAAGGAAAACAATGAATATCCTACTGTAGCACTTTATTTGATTTTGTGTTCATTTTCTTTTCAGACTATGTGTAAATTCACAAATAAATAATTAAAACTGTTGTCATGATGTGTTACTCGTCATTGCTAAGTATAGATGTAGCACTCACCACTGATAAATTCATCATTATTAACGATCCATCAAAGGAGAAAAGATGTATATATATATATATATACTTTTATATTAATAATATACAGGGTGGGACAAAAGTTACAATATAGTTGGTACACTTGGTCTTATACGGATATTTACTAATGAAAATATAACCAGTTTAGTTATCATTTCTTTCAGGGTAAGACATTATAAATTCAACATGTGTATAATCACCCTGTATATATAAACATGCTTTGAACACAAAATACTTTGCACATTTGACAACTTGTTTTTCTTTTTTACAAACTATTGTACAATTTTTAATGTGTTACGGATATATTTAACTCATAAGATATGTGTTATGGGGGCGGTAAAACCCTCATTTTGTGTTTGTGTGTGTTTGTTTCAGAATTTTACGCAAAAGCTACACAGTGTTATCTGCGCAAAAGCCGTACATAACTTTCAACTGATAGACTAGAGCAGTGTTCCCAAAGTGGGAGCCGCGGACCCACTGGGGGCCGTGAAGCTTTGTTTTGGGGGGGGGCGCCAAAAATGGTCCGAAAACAAAGATGCTCAATTAATTTTAATCTTAAATAAACAGTAAGCCGAAAAAAATGTGTTGAATTAATTAAATGATACAGTATGTCGAAAGGAGATGTTATTGTTTTTACTACGGCACTGTTTTTCAATCACCATGCTAAAGCTATAGATTGGGAGGGGGGGGGCTCAAACTTTTTTTTATTCACATCAAGGGAGCTTCAGACTAAAAGAGTTGGGGAATCACTGGACTAGAGAAAAGAAAGCTTATCAGCATCCATCATTGTCAATTCTTATACTACTCTCTGATCGAATTGTTGGATTTGGCCATAAACCATATGGCTCACCCACGTCCGCAAAGTGCGTAGAGCATTTTGCAGCAACGGGTCGAGAACTATGAATCCTAAACAATAGGCCATGTCTTGTTCTACGAGCTTTAATGTATACATCTACCCAGCACTGTATTTCGTGTAGTTGTCACAACTCGGATTCCATAACATTTCACTTGCAGTTTTCAGTTCATATTTTATTCTACAAATGATTGTAGAAGTGTTTTTTTTTATAAGTTGGTATTTTGATGTTGGAATGGTTTTTCTGATACACTGCCTGGTTGTTTTTTATTTCTCTGTGCTCTTACACGTTCCATGTCTTTCAGTACCCATCGTTCTTGCATATTCCTGTCCTCTTTCAGAAGTTGTTGTTTTAATAACACAAACATTTTCCCATGTTCCCCTGAAAATGTTTGCATCATTCTTCCATATGGTTGTGTTGTTTTGAAGTTTGTTTCACTTTCTACACAGTAGAAGGTTGATCTACTTTTCTATATAACTTATCAAATGTAAATGTATTGCCTTGACAACGGTGGCAGGTTATTTATTTTGGTTTAGTAAATAACGTGTAGGGCGTGAATTTATTGTCCTGATAACGGTAGATGATTCTTTAGTTTAGTTCTCTAAATAATTCACGAGCTGTAAAATTGTTACCTTGACAACGGTAGTTTGTTTTTTCTAAATAATTCATGAGCTGTAAATTTGTTACATTGACAACAGTAAATGATTCCTTATTTTAGTTTTCTAAATAATCCATGAGCTGTAAAATTGTTACCTTGACAACGGTAGTTTGGTTTTCTAAGTAACACAACGGAAATTTGTATATTTTAACTTATCTATTTAATATAAATAAATAGTTAAAATCACAGTAAGGAAGATAAAAATACGTGCTTAACGCTTCAGCGAAGCTATCTTCATCGGCTCTGAAACGTTGACCATATACGTTTCTCTTTCTTAGAGTGACTTTAATCACTTCTCTGTATTTTGACATTTTGATCACGCTGCATGTATTTGTTATCTCTGCTACTCGCTGTTGTGGGATTTATGTTGAAATATTTACCATGTATGTGCAGTGTTTTTAGTGGAATTTATGTTGAAATATTTACCATGTATGTGCAATGTTTTTAGTGCTAGTTTTATTTAATACAAACTGATGAAAATACCCGTCTATTCTAACTGTATGGATAATCAGTTATTTTTGGATTATTGCTCAGCTATATGGTCATTATCTTAAATCTTAACTTCTTAATTCATAAAGCCACGGGAGCTGTTACCTCGATTGGGTTGTCACCAGAACTGGTATTTACCAAAATTGATTCGCCGACTACGGGGCTTTGCAAACATCTGGGGTGTTCGGGGCGTTGAATAACGACGGGGTGGTAGAGGGTAATCCGTAAAGCTGAGCAGGAAAGCCGGTGGTTACCGCTTTAAGCTTGCCTTAGCAACCGAAACATGAAATTAGAAAAATCATAAAGCTTATTTTACACGACGTGTAATGGCCTGTTTGCTACACACTTTATCACGCTGTAAAGGTAAAGGTTTCATTTTGAACCTACATCAAGTCTTAAAGTAATGTAAAATATACGACCACCGCTATTATAAGATATTGATGTGGGGACTCTAGTGCTGTATTAAATCGTTGCAGAATTATTTTATTGTTATCGGGGGTTGAGACGGACACAATTTGGCGCCGCTCGAGGAAAGTGACAGCGAATACATCACTTTAAATAACATTTTTGGTGCATATTTGCACACACACACACATATATATATATATATATTGCATTTTCAAATTGATTAATGATATTTGATTTTTTGGCATTAATGGGCTGTAAAGAGTTAAATATTTGCTCATTTAATAAAAGGGTTTGCTAGTATTTATTTTAAAAGTCTTTAAGTTGGTAAATAACGATATGATTATATCACTGGCCAATGATGGTTTTGATATTTATTATCTACACTGCGCGGCAAATAGAGGGCGTTCTCGAAAGATATATATATATATATATAAGAATGTATGTATAATTCTGAGTGAATGATTAAAGAACTCCACTAAGTCGTGGAATCTTATTATTGTTATGTCTCGTAATGAGGAACTTTCACGTAAATTAGACATTTTCAAATGTTCACTTTCAAAATATAATCTGAAACCTGTGATTCATCACTTTCTTAATAAATATATGTCGTCCGGTGGGACAGCGATAAGTTTACGAACTTATAACGCGGAGAACACATCAGATAGCCCCAAAAACCAAACAAATGAAAAAAAAATATATCTTAAAAACCGCATGTATGTGTATATACACACACACACACACACACACACATATATATATACATGATGCACATATTTATAACTGTGAAAGGTATAACGTAATATTTATAACTCTAAAAGACATAACGTAATACTTATAGCTCTGAAAGACATAATGTAATATTTATAACTCTTAAAAGACATAACGTAATGTTTATAACTCTAAAAGACATAACGTAATATTTATAACTGTGAAAGATTTAACGTAATATTTATAACTCTGAAAGACATAACGTAATATTTATAGCTCTGAAAGACATAACGTAATATTTATAACTCTGAAAGACATAACGTAATATTTATAGCTCTGAAAGACTTAACGTAATACTTATAACGCCACACTTTGATTTTAATGAAACTGCTTATATTTTAAAAAACCAAAAGCGCTGCACTTTGTATATGTTACCCAAACATAGGAAGTTTCCCATAATTTATCCTTTGGTCCAAATTAAAAGATATGATATCTTGTTGTTTTTTTGTGGGATATGTCGATTTGAATCTCGTAAGTTGAAAAATTTAACAGTCACAAGAGAAACTGGCGCCCATAACTCTGAGACTAAACCTTGTTCAAAGACAGAAACGTGGCACCCACAACCATGAGAAGGCAGTAAAATAGCACCCACAACCCCTAGACTAAGCCTTTTGAGAAGGTAGGAATGTGGCACCCACAACACTGAGAGTAAGTAAGCCTTTTGAGAAGGTGGTAACGTTGAAGTTTGAGTTATTAAGAAAATTTAAATCTATTAGATTAGATGATAAAGTGTTCACTACATAGAGTGCGAGAGTTACCAGGCTCGATCCCAGAAAATACAAAATTCGATTAAGCAAAAAATAAAAAATAAATAAATATAATTGACGCCCACAATAAGCTATTCCTAGAATTGGTATTCAAGACTTGTCTGGTTTCTCTAAGTTCCTCATCAGTTCATGGTGTATACACAAGAAGACATACAAATACACAACTTCAGATTTCGTACAGATTCTGGCTCTATGTCTGATGTATAAGCAACCTTAACAGGCCCGCAGTTTTGTTTGAAATAATTAACTCTTAATGTACATACAACAAAATGTTGTTTTACATCTCTTTGTAGCAGAAATGGACGCTATTTACGAAACTATCTTTTGTTTCTATTGTATCCTGAATAGTTTGTTGTTTATTAGGTTAGCTTCTGTTCATTTCTGTCTAATGTATCCTGCCCACTGTGGCTCAGCGGTAAGATCGAAGGCTCAGAACGCTAAAAACCGGGTTTCGATACCCGTAGTGGGCACACCACAGATAGCCCAGTGTGTAGCTTTGCGTTTAACAACAAACAAGTAAACAAATTAACGTATCCTCACGTGCAAGTTCTTCCGATTTTATGTAAAACTAGAAGCAAAAATTAAATTTCCCGCAAAAACGAACTTCTTGAGCTATCTTTGAAATAAATTTGCGGCGTTTAAAATAGCGATGATGCTAAGATTTGCCTGCTCATGCTCAGTGGCTACGCATGTAGCAGTAATGTTACAAGCCTTATGTCACATTAGATATATTAAAACGGTTGTGAAAACTGTCACTTCTCACATGAATATCGCTAGAAGGCGAAAAAGTTTTGGAGATGAATTATATTACTCCGATTCTTGTGATATAATGTTAAATTAATTTCACATCTTAGACCACTATTATTTTTCATTTCTATTTTTATTGAAATGAGGTCATAGGACAACAGATGTCACCTGTATCAGTGATGTCACGACTCTCAGCTTTTACGACCTAAAATCTAAATTTCTTCAGCCATTGATCCAGTTTTGCGAATGAATAAAAGGAAACTCACTTGCGGGTATAAAAAACATACACAAATCATTTGTAATATAACTATAGGGCCTTTATTTATATATATAACTTCTGAATACTAAGTAGGGCGACCTATCTTGATGTTGGATATATTTTTAGATATAAACGGAGATACTAAAATGTCTTTAGGGTTTTAATAAATGCTGATTACAAACCCAACATGTGTATTTCAGAGTGAAGTAACTTTGTTTCGTGGATCGAGCTGCTGAAGATTCTACCATCTTCTAGTTGAACTAGGAGGCCCTTGACGGTAGTGGCGTTGCTGTGGTTACTAGCTAAGCTGTTTGGTTTCATCAATAGATACAAAAAAAGTATTGGCGGGGAGGGTCTCCCTTCAGCCCCTGTACTATGTACACGGAAATGAAACGGAATAGAACGTGACTTAGTCCACAATGTGCAATCCAGAAGAGGGAACTCTTGAAGAGGATTTAAGAGACTTTGTGGTACACTCAACATTTAATGACCAAACTACAGTTTGTTTCGAAAGATCACGTGAAAACACCAGTTTAAACTTCTGCTACTTGTATTTCATATTTAATCTAGTAACAACAAATATGAACATTGGTTAGTAGGTCTTTCAACCACGTACACACACAATGTTTTATCACCACTCTTTCGATTTTAAGGCTAAATTCACTTCTAGTTATTATTGCATTTAGTACCATTGTCACCGTATTGTATTTATTACCATTGCAATACGAGTAATAAAGTTTTTATTTTCAGTGACAAAAAGTAAAAAAAAAAAAACAACCAAAAAACGAAGTATTTCAATGACATTCAGACAGAAAGTTTATTATCTAGAACATCGGTGTTTAGCAAATTATTGTGAGAGCAGGCACGAGGGCTTATAACATTATAAGTTTAACTCTAAACAAGCATAAATACACCAGAAGTAATAACCAAAACAGCATACAACGTTCAGAAGAAGTCATGTATGCTTAAAGTTTCATGAGCTTTGACTATTTTTCACAGTATGATATGTACACTATTAGCTATTTGTGTGTTACACGTGCGTATGTGCATCAGCTGTAAGTTTCGTTCACACACTTGTACTGAGGAAGTAAGTGGTTATTTGCTGAACATAATTTAAAAGTAAATATTGATAGTAATGCATAACGTTTCTCTCGTCCTTCAAAAGATCGATGTGAAACTGATTTTTTTGTTATGTTGATCAAAAAATCAGAAGAACACGACAAACCTTCATGACGTTTTTCGCGTGCATTACGACAGTTGATGAAACTACAGGGTGTTCCAAGAGTCTGGACCCATAGAGAATACAGACATCATATACTTAAAGTTAAACGAACATATTTCTAATGTCAGTTATACATATTTCAGGAACGAAAATACCCTGATGGCACAGTATACTAAGAATTGATATGTGTATGGCTGTTAATGGCATGCAATTTAAATAACAAATAAAGTAAGAATACACTGTGTATTTTCTCTATGGGTCTAGACTTCTGGGACACCCTGTACAATGTATTCAGGTAGAAGGACAGACATGTGAACAAACTGTAGCAGATATCTGTTGCAGTATTTACGTATGTATTTATGTTTTGTTTAGGAAAGTCACATCAGGCTATTTGCTGTGTCTACCGAGGGGAATCGAACCCCTGTTTTTAGCGTTGTAAATCCGAAGACTTACCGCTGTTTCACCGGAGGACCCAGTATTTAAGAAAGTGATCAAAATAAACATAACAATTGTGTATGTATTTGTCCCAACTAATATTATTCTTAAAAGTCAGTTGGGCGTTGTAAAATATAGTTGTGTGTTTAGAAATGTTTTCATTTTCTGAAATTAGATTAGTAAATCATTTGTAACTTTCTAGATATGTATAAACACCATCTCTTGTTAGTTTCATAAAACTTTTTCTCCATTAGTGTTGTTTCTTTATTAGTCAAGTTTTCAAGAAGGCCCGCGTTTTAAAGCTTCAAAACGCATTGGTTCTTCTTACAGCAGTTGCAGCGTTGTGTTGTTTGTGAATATTTTCCCCGACATATGACAAAGACGTTTTTTTTTTCAGCCACTCTCGAAACCACCTTTCCTGCATTCCCTCTTTGAAATCGCTTCCCTGGTTTTTTCATTCCCTCCCTGTTCTTTTCATTCAAGTCTATCGTTTGTTTGAATCTGAGCCCACCTGGTCCTTTAAGCTCGCACCACGTGCAGTAGTAGCTGCGCAGATAGCCTCTACTGTCACTCACGAGCGTAGGTCCCGTGAGGGGTTGGGTCCTTGGTGGCCATTGAGAGCTTTGACCAGTCTTGCATTCCTCTTGCTGTGTTTACGAGCCTCTATTCGCATAAATCCTATTTTGATATGTGTGTCAAAGACGGCCACAAAAGCTGGAAGCTGACATCTACTGTTTGGCCGGTTTTCCCTCCTTCACACCTTTAATGTCAGGCAGTTTCGAGTTCCTTATCCTTGTGTGGGTCAAATCCTTAGAAGCGGCTTCCGCCGTTGGGGTGGACATTGTTCTTTCAAGCGATTAAAATTCCCATCCTGGTATATCGCCCACTTACCGACACACACATATACACAAATACAGCATTGGATACAGTTTATCACTCTCGTGTGACGTGTTTGTCTCGCTTTAACCGAATATTTATTACTTTGCTTCTTCTAAGCCACACTTCGAAACGGTATTTTGCTCCACAGCAGTTCATAAGGAAGGTGTACATCATTTTGAATTCTGGGATACTAATAACAAACAAAAAAAAGCCAACATTTACTAGTTTACCAAATTATGGCATAATATAATGACTAAAAGCAAACCACGCGTTAAACTTAACATTATTTACAATCTGCTGGATGATAATGGAATCAGATTGTGTATTTCTATTTTTACAAATGAAGGCTATCAGAAGATTTGTTCATAAACAATAATTCATTCAAATCAATACAACTATTCCCTTTTTCGGCTTTAAAGAAACAAGTGAAAGAACAGTTGAACAGTTTTGAAACTAAAAACGTTAGCAGGGAATAAATAACCTTTCATTATTCGTCATTACGTAGTGGCTGAAGTCTTCTTTTCACCAGGTACGTGAACACTAATAAATAATACATGTGTCACGATTAACCTCATAAGATATAAGAGTAGTGTTTTGTAGAGTGTTCAGAAGCATTTACTTGATAAAACTTCATAATTTCCAGAGTGATTCGAAAACTAACAAAGTTGACCGCGATAGTTGAGAGAGCAGTTAGATTTTGTTTACCCCAAAATAAATACGTGGTCAACTTGATAACAAACATTAGAATATTCTAAAGTATTTCTCGAATTTTTCGCTAGGGTAAGTTTGTACCACCCCAGACAAGGAGTTGGTCGACCCCTTGTAGCTTCTCGGCATGGCTCCTCTCTTGCACGTGTGCGGGGCTTGGCCGTTAGCGGACCGTAACCAAATGTCTGAACTTGGCTCGTTTGATTGATATTGGTCCATCCATCACCAGCGCGTTAATTGTGCAACTCAGGCGACACCTGGGGAAGGGAGATCAGTTAGGTTAATATTTTACATCTACATGCGTTTCTGGCTTTACTCCACGAAATAATGCTTACCTTAGGTGAATAATTTGAATAATCTAACCTGATTTACTGGTGTAAGCGCGCAACTGTATATCATAATCTCACAAAATCTTATGGGCTCATTGAATTATGGAAAAAGTACAAATAATCACTTGCTGTTTTTCTATTTTAACTGTTGTTGTTTCTAATTAAGCACAAAGCTACACAATGGGCTATCTGGGCTCTGCCCACCACGGGTATCGAAACCCGGATTCTAGCGTTGTAAGTCCGCAGACATACCACTGTGCCACTGGGGGGCCTATTTTAAATGCAGAAAAATTGAACATTTTGTTCTTTCGCGAAAGCCAAGTATATATCTTTTATACCTAGTATTTGATTGCACTTTGTATAAACGTTTCTTTTATTAGATAACCCTAAGTTTTTATACAGCATTAAAAGTGTCCGCGGGACAGTTAGACTTGAATATTTCAAAAACTGTTCTATTTATAACACTTTTTAAAGTTTCCCAATGGATTAGTGATAAGCGCCAGAGCTCATAACGTGAGATTCTATCCCCGCAGCGTTCAGAAAGTTAATTATGTGTTAAATATAAATAAAGAATAATTCGTTGTTATTGCATAATTATGTTACGTAAGTTAATAAAGACAATATTATTTGATTTTAGTTTTATTATTCAAACATTTTCTCATTATATTTTGTCAATGTTGTTCACTTCAATATTATGCTGTATGAATTTGTAACTATGAAAAATCTTTACAAAAATATTATCATTAATCCTAAATAATATAGATCTGTTATACTCTACATCTACTCGAACAAATAATAAAACCTTCACAGTAATCCTTTTAAAGACTATACATTTGGCCAATGAGAGGTATTGTAAGCTTTAATATATTGCCCCTCCCCTTCTCCCAGTGGCTCAGCGGTAAGTCTGAAGGCTTATAGTGCTAATGCAAAAAAAACCGGGTTTCGATACGCGTGGTGGGCACAGTACAGAGAGCCCATTGTGTAGCTTTGTTCTAAATATCAAACAAACAAAATTTAAGTTATCGAGATTATACTGACGTCATCAAAAGCCCTATGAACTGGCGTGGCCCGGTGATTAGGATGCTCGACTTGCAATTTGCGGGTCGCGGATTCGAATCCCCGTCATCCAACATGCTCGCACTTTCAGCCTTGTAGTGTGACGGTCAATCCCACTATTTGTTAGTAAAAGAGTGGCCCAAAAGTTGGTGATGGGTGGTGTTGACTAGCTGCCTTCCCTCTAGTCTATCACTGCTAAATTAGGGATGGCTATCACAGATAGCCCTCGTGTAGATTTGCGCTAAATTCAAAACAACCCAAACCAATCAGAAGCCCTCTTCAAAGTAAAAAAAAAACAGAAACTAGTGGTAGTTATTAAACTGTCCCGATTGTTCTGTCATCGACCTACGATTGGCTATTCACACAGTTTCTTGTAACTAACAAAAACTCATTTGAGGTTGTTGGCTTTTGTCAAATTTAAAACTCGAGTGTCATGCTACAAACTGCTCAAGTAATTTTGCTATAAAGTTTCCCCAGTAAGTTTAACCAGGATTTCCTTATAATCGGCAAAATCTTTGTGCATTGTTTATTTATCACTGTACTTTTCTATGCCGTTGAATGTTTTTTGTTTTTGGTAAAATGACTTTATCTATGGTTATTAACGGTACATACGTATACCTCAACGTGCCGTACACTCTTGTGTTTATTACGAGACCAAGAAAAATTCAGAAAAATATCCACCAGGTTGTAATAAGAATGATAAAAAGCGACATGCTAAAGAAAACATTGTTAAGTATGTATCGTTTGACTAAATTATAATCGATATGATACTTTCGTAAATAATCATATTTTCGGCCGTAATCCCAACTGTGTTTAAATTGGCTCGAATATCTAACTTAATAAAGCAAAAATATTCTCTGTAATATTCAAACATTGTGACAAATAAGGTTTCATTGGACTATCTCTAAAACAACAAAAAAAAAGGAACAGTAAGATAGTAATCGGCCCGGCATGGCCAGATGGTTAGGGTACTCGACTCGCAATCTGCGGGTCGCGGGTTCGAATCCCCGTCACACCAAACATTCTCTCCCTTTCAGTCGTGGGGGCGTTATAATGTGACGGTCAATCCCACTATTCGTTGGTAAAGGAGTAGCCCAAGAGTTGGCTGTGGGTGGTGATGACTAGCTGGCTTTCCTCTAGTCTTGCACTGCTAAATTAGGGACGGCTAGCGCAGATAGCCCTCGTGTAGCTTTGCGCGAAATTCAAAAAACAAAACAAACAAATAAGATAATAATAAAACACTCACTAATTCAGTTTTCTGAAGTAAGTGTATAATAGTCTGGATCGAACAAGCTAAGTATGTAAATAACTATCTGAATATCTTCTGATTGAACTGGAACTGGGATTACTTGCTATTCCAACTGGACCTTTATGTATCTGCCTTAGTTGTACTCTGTATTAACATATGATCTGGCCTGTTTTTTTTTTATTAATGATTTGACATGGGACATGGTTGAATGGATTTGACTTGTCGTTTTATTTCCTTAGTCAGACATGATCTTAACATACGGTTGAATAGATTATTTGTTTTGTCATTTCTTTGCCTTAGTCAGACATGATATTACCATGATTAAACTGAATAAATTTATCCCTTTAGTCTCGTGGTTAGATGTGGTATTAACATATCATTGAATTGATTGGAACTATCATATTTTTTTGCCTTGGTCAAGCATATTGTTAAATATCATTGAACTGGTTGAACCTGTTATTTCTTTTCCAGTAGAAAATCTGATATGCTCACTAAACAAAGTTTATTAAGTTAATCTGTCAGTTAGCAAAGAAATCTTGTTGAAAACAAGACCCATGAAGCTGCTGGGAGCGTTCAAAGAGATTCCAACAAATTTATAGAAGTGCCTGAATATATCAGAAAAGTACAGAAAGGCTGTAATGACAAAACTGGAGAACTATGGAAAGTCATTAACGAAATACAAAATAATTCTGATGACAAAATCGAAGAAGTATAGAAAGAAATCACTGAGGTAAAAAATAACATTAGCAACAGTTATCCCTTCTATGGTGGTCAGAAAGAAATCATTGAGGTAAAAAATAACATTAGCAACAGAAAGAATATCAGGAAATGAATTGGTAAATGTAAAACTTAAAGCAGTAGCACTTCTTCCTATATCTGCCCAATAATTCTAACCCAAAACACCATCTACTACAAAATAAGTTATGGTAGAGCTTATTTAATTTACACCTTTTACTGGCACTGCTGTGCCATCTGTTACTGTAAGTCCTTCCTGGACTAATACAGGCATGTCACTACCAAATCCAGTTCCAGAACGTATCTGGCAAATTGAACAACATGAGCCAATTGAAAAACCAACAGACTATAATGGAAAGATACCATGGCAGGCATATTAGGCTATGTTCAAAATACTTTCCAAAGTGAACAAGTGGAGAGTGAACAAAAGGCTATTCATTTTTCTGCCCATTTAAAAGTACCAGCTTTAACAGCATTAAGTAACCTTCCAGTGGAGTGCCGTAACAACTATAAAGCATTGGTAGTTATCTTATATATATCAGGTTCGGAGTGATACATCAGAATAAAGTGTCCAGAACAAAGTTCCAAAACAGGGCACAAAGGAAAGAAAAGATCTAGGCCAAACTTTTAGAATATTTGAAAAAGTTTGCCTAATTTCCTTACCCGGATGCTTCTCGTGAAATGACGAATTCCTCAGCACTTGACCAATTTGTAGATACCGTAATACATAATAATATGATTGAATCAAAGTTGCAGTACATTATTAAATGAAGTTTTACAGTTGGCGATGAAACTTGAATATATTAAAATTGCAGATAAACTACTAAAAACGCTGCCTAGAAGCTACATGGATCTCAAATCCTGTAATATTGAAACTTCAACTTTTTCTATCGATAGTATAGAAGAACTTAAATTATTAGTTAGACAACTAGTTACATAAAACGGAGAATATAAACCACAAGACAATAAATGCTTCAAGTGTTCCTTGAAAAGACATATTACTAGCTGTTATTAAGTAAAGTAGATAATTAAGGATGAGTTTCAGAGCGAAGACATGGATGCGAGGTTAACTTCAAACAGTTTCACATTCTATGACTAGGAAATCCCTATGTGCTACATGGAAATTAATACACCAAAGATTGAAATTCCAGTGATCACGGGCATGGTGGTCATTGTACCTCCAAGAAGTGAAATTCTCATACCATGAGTTTGTAGCAATAATTCAGCTAGTGATTGGGGTATAGTAGAACCAAACACTTCGGCAGGCTCTGAGGGATTGATGATTGGAAGAACTCTCAGGGATGTGAATAATGAATATGTATGGATGATTTTACCTGGGAAATACTTAAATCAGCTATTGATAAAATGAAAAGATGCTATGATGCTGATGCTGATAAAACTGGATTTCATCCAATTGATATGGTATGCCTGAATAATTATTGTTGCAAAAAGGACAAATTCCTATGTCAAGTACGTGATTAGAAGGGCCGTAAATTATATCGAAAATAACCAATGATGTGAGTTACAGAATCTAAAAGGACAAAGGTCATCCACTATGATCATCTTTGAAAATATGTCGGTGAGAGAAAGGCCAACATGGTATTGTGTACCAGAAAGTCAGCCTACAGAGGTTCCTGTTGAGACCACTTCTATAATATTATCAGGAATACAGCTGCCATTGGATTCACTCGATCACTTACCTAGAAAAAACTTATCCAACAATAGATCAGCCTGCAACAGAAGGGGACAATAGTTCATCCCAACTGCATATAATAACTCTCGGAAAAGAAAACCACCAAAAATTCTTGTTGAATGGACAGTTTAGTGCAGTTTTTCATTTTTGTATTAGGGTTATTCAAGGAACTTCACAATCCAGGAAGAAGGCAGTGTCATAAGCTATGTTTTCAAATTAGATGTTAGCTAGAGAGCACATGAGGTTAAGATCTAGTAAGTTCGACTAAGATCTAGATGGGTACATTAGTTATAAGTTCTGGTAAGCAATTAGTTAGAGTGAGAGCGTGCCATTGAGTGAGTGAAGTATTTCAACTGAATAATAAATGAGAATTCAAAGAAGTTAGTGAGTGATCACGCATAGTCCGGGTATTTATCTTGTTAAATCAATTAGTCAGTTAGTAAAGAAAGTCAATTATTCATTTACTCGGTGAGCTCTGTGTTTGTTTACCGATCAAAGCTAAGGAGCTCAGTTAGGCATACGTTTCGTAGTTTGTATTTGAACATTGTATTTGAAGTTAAGCCTACATATATTTTCGGCGTTTATGATAAAAGTTTATTTATGAACTTGGGCCCACAACTGTGTGCAAGCAAAAATAGCCTGTAACAAACGCTAAAGAAGAAATGACTAATTGTTATCATTATGTCGACTGGACGTCACATTATTTTCATCAAATAATTCAGAATAACCGACCTAAGTGTAAAATACTTTACAACAATATTAATATAATACTGGTTAACTTCAGGTGTAAAACATTCCTTAATAACACTTAATAATAACACTTAATAACACCTTAACATGCATGTCAACTTTTAACTCTATTTACTTAGACACCCAAGTCAGAATGAAGACGGTTAAACAAACGGATAAATAAATAATTGAGCATACAAGGAACAGAATTTAGTAAAATATAAACCAACATTATACCTAGAAGACACCCGTGTAGAAAACAGTTGTAATTGATGGTAAAAGTAAATATTAGATCGTCATGAAATTAATGTCGCGTTTTGGAACACTTTCATTAAACACCCCCAAAAAACGTACATCACGTATAATAGTTAAACGAAACGCCTACGCGTCACGTTAGTGTAGCCTATATATTGTGTAAAGTTTAGTATACCCTAATCCCTTATACTGATGGCACACGACGAGACACACATTCGACATGTAATGCTCTTTGAACACAAGAAGGAAAACAACGCCTCTGTAGCCAAAGTATATCAAAAAAGTTTATGGAAATAGTTTTGAACGTTCGTAAGTGTCAACGAGGTTCAGAAAATTTCGTTCAGGTGACTTTAGCC